AGCTCATCTATGCACTGAGTTAAGGTGTGTGTTTTGTTGCTCATCAGTTAAACAGGGTTAGCTGTGATATCCCTGCAAAAAAAGGTGCTGTGTTTTGCTTTACTTGTGGAAGTTACACATTAAAGTCTCACAAGGATGTACTTTCATGATATTATGGGCATTAAGTTATGTGTATCTGCTTGTTATGACTGTTTAAATCAGATAAAAGCAGTCATGGATGCATATAAACTGGATGATAATCAGTTTTTAAGCAGACGACGATCACTTTTCGGTGTCCAGTGGACTACGAGTCCCTGATCGTGGACTGGGATTAAACCAGTCCGGCCATATGTTTGAACAGACGGAGAATGCAATTATTGTTATTATGCTGTTATCAGCAAAACCACAAGGTCAGAGGTCACGACGAGACAAGACAACTGATGCTGCACTTACGTAAGCGACCGCATGATCGCGAGCAAACAAAACCGAAACGCTCCGAAAGTCCTGCTGTTGTTTTCATGCGTTAGTTGGTCCCATTAAAGAGATTCAGATTGGCACAGTATTTAGGTCATGCAGTTTATTAGGCGCCCGTGGGACGGCTGTCGTTCTTCATTTAAACTACCATCACAACGCCCTGAAGCTAAATCCATCACTTGCACCTGCTCCAGCTTCACAGAACTGAATACACCGTGCAGAATCCCCCAGTGACTTGAAACACACTCGGAACTGTTTAGGAGTGAAGCAGGATGCTACTAAACAAGACCTAAATTTATGAGGAGCCTATTTTTAGTTTCAAAACCTGTCACGCTCGTCTGAAAGTTCCACCGGGTGAAACGCGGCTTCGTCGTCGCCGCTTTCCAAACCCTCCCAGGATAAATAACATCTAGGATCAAACTCATCGAACTTTTTTGTGGCAATAACTCCGTATAAGCTCCAGAATCGTGCTTCAAAAAAAAGAAAAACTGATCCGGCTGATTTTCCACAAGAAGCATCTGAAGGAGCAGAATTATTGAAGCTCGCGCATCGCAAAGATCAATAAACGCGGATCAAAAGAACACAAGATCCAGACCAGCTTTCAACACATTTAATTTATTTATGTGTTCGGACGGATTCTATTTAAATTTAGCGGAGACGTACAGTCTATTACTGGAGTCGTTCTGCTCCAAGCTCGAGACCAAAAGCGGAACACAGATCAAATAAGGAAAAAAAAAAAAAAGAGTGAGAGAAATACAATGTGCTGCTTTGCCTGAAATATGCTCGAGCTCGTCTATTTGTTGTTTCCTCTCTCACTTTAGGTCCAATAACGGCGCTGACTCATTGGCCACTAACCTCACTTCCTATCCGATCATCTGCAAAGCAGCGTGGAGCAGCAGTGACTGGCTATCTGCAGGCCACCACCTCAGATGTCAGAGCCTCTTCTTTTCCTTCACTGCATGCAGGGCGGAGAGCTGATTAAGGTTCGATTTTAAAGGCGAAATGAATCGGGGACGTCGAGGCGGCGCTTAGAGATAGATCCCATTTGCAAGGCTGCTTTGAAAACAGACGGTGGCATTAGAGACAAAGCACCTGGATATAGCTCTCGTTTGTTGTAGATCTGCTTTGGGATGATGCCTTCCTAATGAGGGTATTAAAGGATAAGTGTTTAAAAAAAAAAACACATTAAAATGGATACAAATTTTTAAGACTGAAAAAAAAAAAGGTTTTTGATCACGTTTGGTGTGTTTTCTCCAAAGCAACTTGCTTTCTGGTATGACAGAATCAACTTTAACATGATTGCTGTGTCACGTTTACGACACCGTGGATTCATACAAGGAGTAATTTATGCATCTTGCAGAATCAAACGAAATAGATGATATAAAGATGGTCAGACTGACATCCATAGATTTCCAGAATTCGCTCAATGTGGTGACTCCGGCAGTCGGCATCTTAGCAGAACCGGACACCTCTGGCTTTAAATATGCACAACTTTAAGCCCTAATACAATTTAAATATGCATAAGTACCATGCATAAATTAGCCATAGAGATCAAAACCAGTGTTTGTAGCAGGATGTAAACATGTTTATTTCTATTCTAAAGTTGAACATTTTAACATGTGAGTCTGTGGGGGTTGACTCGCTTTTGCAACCAGCCTCTAGTGGCCATTTGTGGAGCTGCGGGTTTTGACGCTTCCACTTTGGCTTCTCTTGAACTAAAAGTTTCTACTCGAGAGCAATGGGTTCCTCATCTTTACTGAGTAATGTGACCTTATCTCAATTACTTATGAGCAATTCCATATGGAAAACATATTGCAGTTATTTTTAAAAATTCATTCGACCTGACAATTTGAATCATGCTAATATTACACTTATGTTGTTAAAGCTTCCACGTGGGAACGAGTACATGTGACTTCTCAAGTTAAAGAGTGTGCTGACAAATTCATCCTGATCAAATTAAAGTTAAGCAGCTGGCTTTTCTCCTCTTAATGTGATTTCATGTTCATTCTATTGCACACCATCGTCAAGTGACTGAATATATAAAAGGTCTTCAGAGAGTCAGGTCAGACTTTTTTTTTTTTTTTTTTTTTTTTTACAATTTTCAATTAGTTTTTTTTAATTGCAACAACATTTTGTACAAATCTATAAAACCAGCAACAATTCATTGCTAATATAAATATAAAAACTAAGATTAACTGCAAGACGAATGTAAGTTAGCAAGACTACAGTCATGCAAGCTGCCATCTTGGCTCTTCAGAACTGCACCAAAGGTCCAATCTGATCAAAAACATCATGCAACAGTACTTCAGATAATCTACTTTTAGATTTCTAAAACCTACACTGTAGCAAAGATAAATCTAAATTAAATCTGGATTTTTTTTCTTCCATTTTTTTGAATTAAAATTAATAAAATAAAAAATACAGAATAAGACTGTTGCATCTACATGTCTATGTTCAAATTGCTTTGAAAAATTAACCAAAAATTTCATTTTTTACATGATTTTGATCATTTTGACATAAAAACACAGTTATAATAGATTTGCAAAAGTATTATTTACCTGCAATTTTTTCCCCCAAACATTTAAATAACATTAAATGTAATTTTATGATTTAATATTTATGATATTGTGTAAAATCACAGCTAGAAAATGCATTTTAATTACAGAAAGTAACAGTATTTTCACTAGCGGGCTATTGTCTGTTATGTTTTTGCATCCCAGCAGCCCAGATATTCTCATTTCCTTTTTTTTTTCAGTCTATTACAGATCATTTTGCATGTGGCCTCGTTTACCAATCACCGCAGCACGTTTAGTTCCCTGATGAGCGGCGATCTAGTCTCAGTTGCCGAGCCACACCAGTGAATATGATGTGATAAGTATTAGCACACAGCCGGTGTTACAGTGATACCAACATGTTGTCATGTCAGGATCGCTGTGGATCAAATCCCTCCATAGCAACTGAGTTGGCCTGCGGGTGCGGCTCGGCTGCCACTCCCAGGAATACCAACCACCGTGATCTTGTCTGCATGATGACAACAACAACAACAACAACAACAACAACAACAGCTTTTCCCGCGCTGACACCATCATGGGAACTACCTGTCATTTATACTCTGGAAGTATTGCTCGGGATAAGCCTTGACTATTACCGCGTACAGTATTTCTAAATCTGCAGATTAGTACAGGACAAAGACTTGTACAAGCATTAGTACTGTTAACAAATGGTTCCAGAGCATGTGAAAAGAGGCTCATTAGGTGTCCGTAGGGGAAGAAGGGAAGTAGAATTTGTCCAAACTTGATCTGCAGCAACTTAATCATGACTGATACAAATAATTGCCTTAAAAATCAGCTTTCTTTCGCGCCGCTGTGCTCAGTCCCTCTGGCTCTGTGTCTAAGATGACTGATTTGGTTCTGCTCCAAACTGGCGGCAGTGCTGTGATCTTTCATTACGAGCTGCACCTTCTACGTCAAACCCTGCCACGGCACTAACAGAAATTTCACCAACATATGGAGCGTTCCCATAGCTGTCAGATCTATTAAAAAAAAAAAAGCTGCCTATGCCTTGAAGTCACAGTGAAATTAAAAGAAAACACAGCTGGGTAGCTGCTTGTGTTTCTCCTGACGTACTGATTTCACTACAGGTAGATATTTCTCAATATATCACAGTGTCACAGACGACAGAGGAAAAGGAAGTTGATGACGAAGGTTTGATTAAAAGTGAAATTGCAAAAAAAAAAAAAAACATAGTTCTGCACACTTGATATGGATTTAACTGAGAAGTGATACAGAAAGAGAATGCTTAGAAAGGCATACAAAGCAGCACTTCCTGTTGATATGAAGTATAAACCACCAATTTAAGGAGAATTTCAGTGAGCACTAACTAAAACTACACACATCTACTGTAGGCAGGAGAGTCTAGTAAAGATGATCCTCGGAAAATTACTCAGTAAATAAAAAAGGAGAGTCACTATTTCTTGTCATAATTATTTTTCAAAAGTTCTTATGTTTGACTTAATATTGATTTATCATGATGTGATCTCAGTGTGAGCCTTCTTTATGAATTTTTAATGATTTAACCTGCAAATACACAAACACAGCTGATGGGTGCTTATGACATGCTTGTAGTATGAAATACAAGAAAATACACAGACTTTCTTGGTCCTCGTAGGATTAATCAGTGTCGTGTGAACTCGCTTGACAAGTGCTTGAAATAAATGGACGTTCATTTGTCTGTAAAAACTTTCAAATATAAACTTTTCCATCTCTTTCCTGTGCATCTTTGCAACAAATGTGAAAATTTGCCAACAGAACAGGTCCCGCTGACATGTAAGTTAATGGAAGAGAGTCCAGTAAATGTAATTAAACTGCTCATCATGGTGTTTCACTAAAGTTCTATGATTGCTGCTTCTTAACTTTTTATGTCTTATTTTAATTTGTGTCTTTGCTTGGGTTGCTATGGTGAAAAAGTTGTGTGGCGATTATGTACGTGGCATGAAACAAAGAGAGGGAAAAAACAAGACAAAACAAACAAGGGGCGTCGATACTCACTCTGGCGAAGTGCTCGGGGTCTCTCAGAAACACCGTCCTCTCCTTAGCGATGCTGTTGCTATGGTAGAACTCCACCAGCTCGTTCAGGGAGGAGAAGACCTCGTCCCACACGTAGTATTGAGCGCAGCGGTCCTGCAGAACCTTGAAATGCTGAACGTGGTCTCCGTAGCTGTGAGATGCATAAACGAGAACAACGTCACGAGGGTTGTGAAGCTGCTTCTCGTTTTAAAGCTTCGTTAATGAAGACATTTGCTGCTTTGTGGTGCGTAACAAAAGTGCATTCATACAAGTAATGATCAAAACACATCAGTAAATCATTACAGATGTGAAAATGTTTGAATTTCTCTTGAAAAGCGATGAGCTCGGTCTTAGAATCCATCCTACAAGAACTGACTTGTTCGTCCAAAACTCATTAAAACTGTATGAAATATTCTTCAACAACAAAATGGGTCATTTCCTCTCAAAATAGAATTTGAAATAAATTGGCGGCCAGTTAATAAGACACTGTTTGTCAAAATTAAAGCAGTCACTTTGTCTGTTTGTACTGCAGACACCAGGACTGAGTCAGGTCTTTACTGAGTCCTTTCTCTATCTTCACATCTTCTGCATACAATAAAGTCGGACCAGCTTTGGGTTTATACCAACACTCTTTAGTCTGCAAATCCTCTCCTCAGCCACACAGCTGTCAGCTGTTGGAGCTGGCACGCCTTCAGTGCGGTCCTGTTCGCTGAAGTGACCCTTATTTGGTATTTTGTTTTACTCTTTTTCTGTTTTTTTTTTTTTTACCATCTTCAAGTGCAAAATCCCAGCCAAAACAGAAGGGAAGACAACACTCCAACAGATATAACAACACACGAGCTCATAATACCAACGCAAAACCTAAATCAATAGAGAATGGACATGATCACTGAGGCAGTCTTTTTTTTAAAATTTTACTGTCATTTCTTGGAATAAAAAGAGCAGACCATGACATTTACATGGGCTGCTCTGTGGGTCTTTGGGAAACTGTGCAAAGCAGATGATGTCAAACAATTCCCATTTGAATTTGCATCATCAAAAATCACGTCACGCATTCAAAAATTAACACTGAAATTCACAACAATACAAGATTGGGGCTTATTTCCAGTTATTCTGCTCCAATTTATCATCGTATCTTGATGAATTTTTTTGGTTTTGTCGGGAGAACAAAAAAATAAAACACTGGATAATAATAATTTAAAAAAAAAAAGACAGAGGCACAAACAAAAATAGCCGCGGTGTTAGAGAGCACGCCTTGTTGTTGTGATTAAAAGAGTTTGGCCGGTATTTACTGGCAATCATACCTGCTCCCCTGTCCTGCTCTGCGGTGGTTGCTAAGTAACTTACCAGCTTATCTTTAGAAATCTGGACATCTCGCCGTGATTGTGCGCGTTATATAACAGCAGCTAATATGCAGAGGAAATCAGCAACACCCCCATAGCTCTGAACACATCACAGAGTAGGTGTGTTTTGCTTATGTTAATGACTGTTAGAATGTCATGAAAAGCAGAACTATTATTTCTTTTTTTATATATTTGCTGCATATTCTGAATATATGGCCAGTCCTCTCAGTAAATGACACATCCGTGCTGGAGAATAAGCCCAAGCACGGCCACCCTCGCCAGACTATCTAGTCTGATTGGCTCTGCTCCAAGCTCCCAGAAAGTAAATGAGCACAGGCTTGTTTTCAGCCACAATTCCTTTCTCTATTCAGACACGGAGCTCTGTGAACAAGCAGAACCGACTCCCCGATGACTGGATGGCATTCAGCTACACCTCCACCCTGCCCTTCTTTCCCTGCCTCCCTCGTTTCTCTCTCCTCTCCACCAGTCACACTCCCCGAAATGATAAAACCAGAACATATTCATTCAATCAAATGTGAGGTTTCTGACAAGTTCTTTTGGACTACCAGCCTTAACTCATTCAGTGTGAGTAGACGTGATGTCTGTCCCTTTTTTTTCTCTCCTTCTGCTTTGCCTGTGGCTCTGTTGCTCACACTCTCTGTCATCACTCTCTATTATCTCACTTCCATCTAACTTCTCTCTCCGTATCTCAGCTCCTCTTGTTATCTGCTCCGCCATGTCTCCATCGACTCTTGATTCAGCCTTATCCTCCACTGAGTCACACACACACGCAAGCAACTCAAAATTCTTTGTTAATGATCTCTATCAGCCCCGGCTAGTTGTCTGGCACCCTCTGCTGCACCCTACTGGTGGGGCTCTGCTACTACCAGCAGCTGTTTTTGAAGAAGAAGAAGACAAAGTAGTAAAGAGAGGATTAAAGACAGGAGGTAGACAGGACATGAACTTTCCCTTTAGGGGATTTACAATAATGTAAATGTAGAGTAAAACACATCAAACGCTCAGAAGGAGGGGGAAAAAAATGGAAACGAGGTGTGATTGTAAGATGCGCTGCGGCTTGTTCGCTACATCTAGCTCGCATTTCCTGCAGCTGTTACACAACAGTGTCAATGCAAGGTCGAGCACCTTTGGTTTAGGTCAGTTTAAAACGCAAAATAGATTTCCAGAATAAAAAAAAGGTATGATTTTGGAAAACCAGTTGAAAAGTTGGGAAATGTTTTGGTTTATATTTTTATCTGTGTAGTCGTGTCTTCTCAGGGCATTTCAAACACTAGGGTTAAGAGATTACAAATTATTTTACATCTAAAACTCCAGTGATTCCCTCTGAACACCACTTGGTGATATAATAATAACTAATACAACTATATAACTTGCAATCATTCGTTTTGCCAAACAAAAAAAGGTTCATCCTCTTAACTCCAAATAGTTTCTCTGTGTTTTTTTTTTGTTTGTTTTTTTTTGCTCCTGTGGGCTCAGGTTCTATTGTAATAAGTAAATCCTGCACCTCTTTGTAAGCAGCACAACCCGGCTAAAGGTAGAGAGAACTCAAAAATGTGCAGTATGAGAAGCTATAATGCCATAAATCCTATTTTTTTTAAAAAGGGAAAACACCAAAGTTGAATTTCTTCAGCTGTTTATTTTCCAAATATCTGAAAAAAAAACCCAATCTGGAATCAATACTTGTAACAGTTTGCTAAGTGCTGGAGGTGTTACCCAATATAGATGTGCGATAGATATTTTATCACTTACATTGATATCAACTATTGAAATGGGTTTCCCTGTGCTGAATGTATCTTCCAGAAACTTACTGACAATTGAGCCATGCTGCATTTATTTTATTTATCGATTATGTTTTATTTTTTTCCCTCTCAGTCGCTCTACTTTGTTTCCATACTTGTATCGTATCTGTTCTGTTTGAACACTGCCTGCAGCTCAATCAAATATTTCCTGAATTTCTGTCGTGTGAATGTTGGTCACAGCTGAAAGGAGCACCCAAAGTTTGATTTATTTATGTATTGCATAATCTAATGCAGGGGGTTTATTTTTGTATTATTCTTGTTTTTTTTATCAGCAAATGGAAGTAATTTGGATGAAATATCACAATTTCAAATCCATACTTGGTTATTATTCTTGACAGGAACTCACTCATGCCAACATGCCTTCCAAGCAGGTTTTGGGGGTTCATAGGATTAAAAAGCTACGTCTTTACAAACTATTCGCACGTTGAAGAAATCAAACCCTCCAAATTCATGCAGCGTCTCGGTGCGGCTGCTCAAATATTTACACCTGAACCGCACTATCACATCTTCACACTCCATTAACACTCCAGTGAACAAAACTGTACAAACTACAAGCTACAAGACGCACAGATCAGCTGCTTTTTCTGTTCTTTCTACAACAAATAACATCTAAATAATCAACGATATTGTAATTTGTTATTTATTGAACATCATTATGATCAAACATCACCAGGGATGATTTAGTTGTTTTTAAAAAAAGGAAGAGAAGGAATGTGTAATCCTGTAGCCACAGCAGAATTAAGTGATACATTATTGAAGGCTTTATTAATTATTACCCAGAAACAGTAGAGAAGCGGTTCGCTGTAATAACGCAGACAGCATCTGTCTCGGCTTGATCGCTCGCTCACTCACACAAAGCCCTCCATCCAAGTGCCCTCTCATCTCCGTGATCCAGCGTAATTAAGGCCCAAAGCGATAGAGAGATTATGTTCTTTTTCCGAGTAAAACGGAAATTAGAGCGAGAACACGAGAGCGAGAAAGACTGAGAATGAAGTAGATGCCGAGATGGAGGCAGATATACAAGCACGATGGTGGAAGTTATTTTGGAAACTTTTGCTCGTCGCCAGCAGTGGCGCGAAGGTCACCCGTCCGTGGTTCCCTCGACTTCCTCCTCCGTCCATCTATTCTCACTTCCCCGTCCTCGCTCGTCTCGCTCCCCTCTGCTCGTCTCCAATCTGCGCTTTGGTTTCTAAACTGCTGCAGATGTCTGGAATGCTTCACACAGTAGCGCTGACACCTCCAGCTGTCAGTTTAACTCTGCAAACCACTGATTCCAGCATGTTGTTTGTGCCAACCAGGGTGTATGTGGTTGTCATGCGTCGCAGGCGAACCGCCACGCCGGCCTTGAGCGTGTGCATGTGTGGTTCCTTTCTTTCTTTTTTGTTTTTTGTCGAAGCGTGTCAGCTCCGTCCTTGCATGTCAACCCCGCGCGTCACCGAGCGAAGGACGCGCTTCTTGTAGCATTAATAAAGCATCACCTACTTCGTTAGACGGGCGAGGACAGAGACAGGAAGTGTGAATAAACGGGGAAGAAGGATGGAGGCAGTTCAGTGGGAAAGTGTGTCGACCTGTGTGTTGTTGTTGTTGCGTTTATTGGAATCATTAAGTCATTCGTAATCCCAGAGCTTGGTTCAGATAAACTGCTGGGTTGCGTGTTTCCTGTAATAAATATGGAATCGAGTAGTCATGAAATATTTTTTTCTCAGAGCCAGAGCTGCTCCGAGGGAAGGAATAATCTAATTGGGTTACGAACGTTTCAACAGACGGAGCCAAAGAGCTGCAGGTTTTCTAGCTAAGTACGGTTCGCCCATAAGCTACATCAGACTTACAGGCGAGGAGAATGAAGTGTAATTTGAGGCACTTTTGAAGTCTTGTTTAACTCTGGGAAAGTAATATTTTCTACCCTACTTAGCTTTCTAAACAAGAGGGTTGACCTCATTTTTGTATGTACTTTAAGTGAGTATGTTCCTTGACAAACTCTAAAGAACTTC